ATATGATTTTGATACGATTCTGACTTGATTCTGTTCTGTTCCGATAAAATCTGAATTTCTGATTTCTGTATGATTCTGATTCTATTGATTTGATATGTCTGATCTGTTTTGTTTCTGATTTGATACGACTTCTGTTTCGTACAGTTCTGTCTGATTTGATATGTCCGTATCTGTTCTGATTTGATCTGTTTCGTTCTGATCTGTCTGATTTGATATCTGTCTGATTCTGTTCTGATTTCTGTACGGATTTGTCTGATGTGTTTGGTTTTGGATTCTGAGAGTTTTGATTGGTGGTTTGTCGCTTTGCTGAGCTGTTGAGCTCACTCTTGTTTTCTGGTGGTTTTCAGGTTCTGGAAAAGGGAAGGAGGTCCAGGAATAGATTTCAGAGTCTGATTTGTAGATATTGTTTTGTACCTTTTGATTTTTGTACAGTCATGGCTTTTCTATTCTGTCTTTCTTTCTATCTAAAAGTCATGCATTTGATGATTCATAGTAGCTCTGTGTCTGTGTGTCTGTGTTTTGAGTTGAAATATTTGGAAGATTCAGTTCCGAAAAAAATTCCAAAACCAGATCCTGGTTAGTCTGTTCGTTAAGCTAGTCGTGGCCCGGTGCGAGCGGGATCCGTCCTGAATCGGGTCGGGTCGTGACACATTGGACTAGGTGTACTTTCTTTATTCTACTTCTTCTATATATTGTCCTTGTATACCGCTACAATGAGTATGATAAAATAAAATCATTTTCCTATCTCTTCGCTTCCATTTTCCTTTCCTGTGAAAGTTCTCTGTTCTTTCATCCTTTGAAACATGGCAAGAATCTGAAATTCTACACCTTTGCACCCGAATTTTTTTCTTTTCCGAACAACGCCTTGACGCTTGCATACCTGAGTGTCCCGGCGTTGTGTTCTTGAGCGCCCTAGCGTTGAACGATAGAGAGCAGAGCACCACAACGGTCTAGATATGACACTGCAACGGTACAAGATAGAGGCTTGAGCGTCACAGCACTACAAGATGGAATGAATGATTTTTTTCTCGTTTTTCTGAAGTGTTGCATCCCTTATGGCTATTTTACTTTGTTTTCTCTTGTTTTTTGAGTAGTTAGACATTGAGAACAGTGCATGTGAGAAGAGAATCAAGGAGAGAGTGAGAGAGAAGAGAGAACTATACTTATTTCTCCCAATTTTCATAGTAGATTTCTTGATGTGTTGTGATTTTGTGGCTTTTTTTCCTATTTTGATTTTTATTAATGTTAAATCCTGATGTTCTTCTTTTTCACTGCTTTTACTTTCTTGCTTGTTTCGTCAGCGCGGTGGTTATTCCTCATCTCACCCCCAACATTATGTTAACTGCAACTCACATAAATTCCTCTATCTAATTCAAATCATGAACTCTAATAGTACTCATCGGAGAGAATGAACTAAAGAAAATTTGATTTTTTTTTTTTTAATCTATTAAGAATATCCTTAGCTAAAATAACATTTCCAGCAATATCACTTTCTTCCAAAAAGACCGCTTGATCAGGGTTAACAGTCTTAGAAATAACTTTTATTGTAGAGCCGAGAGCTTAATAATAACTTTACAGAAAGTATTAGTATTTTTGAAAAAATGCAGAAAGGGTTATGAATTTGGGGACCAGAGATCTCCCAAACATTTTTAAAGAATTTAGCATTGAGCCCATCAGTATCGGGTGATTTAGCATCACCCAAGGAAAACATAACATTCTTTTTATCCATCTCTATAAAGGACATATTGAGATTAAGCTTTAAAATGCAGCTCATCATGATCTATTGGTTCATAGTTTTGTCTGCCAACCAAGAAGCCTTGGATTCCAGCTTAGGTATATAATATGTATGTGAATTTGTTTTAATTGACTTATAAGACCCAAAAAAAAAAAATTTAAGTTTTAAAGAACTAAAAAGAATAATTCTTCTGCTCGAGTGATCCCCTAAATCATGGCAAATTCACGAAGGCACAGTAACCTTGAACAGCACGTATCACATTCTCGTTTAGTTACATCTACTCTTAGATTCTTTAGAGCTTAACATTTTTTTTAAAATATAGTACTCAAATATAAATTTGATTTGATGTGGTATTTACCCAACTAAACTGATTGGCAATAAACTTAACAATTCAAACTTACTAAAAAACAAGGATCAAAAGCACATATTCGTCGTTCATAACAAAGATGACATTTTTTCCCAAGAAATGCGTTTTGTTCTTCATTTTTTATACCGTTGAATGCTTAAAAAAGAGCCATTTTAGCTTTTTCAGCTTTATATTTCTATCAAAGATCCTATCCCACAATTATTTTTCTGGAGTACATATAATGCTCAAATGCACACCACCAACATAATAATAAGTGTACTAAGAAACCAGTAAAAAAGAAAAAGATATGAAGCTCCTACGACTTACAGATCACCACAAAGCAAGGAAGAAGGGCTCGTGGGTTGAGCAAATAAAGCACATCAAGACTTGAATGCCCACCAACCTTTCCTGCTAATGAATCAAAGCCTGGCAGACCAATCACTTCTTGAAGATTATCCAATGGCTTATGAATTCTCCCAGCAATTGCTCTGCAAACCAGCAAGGCCTTCTTCGGCAAAGGTTTTTCTTTGCTTGTCTCAATGGATTCAAATGCTCTTTCGCTTGTCGAAGCCGTGAATACTCCCACCCCTTCATTCATATCCCATATTACAGAAAAACCGAGCTTTATGATCCGGCAAACATTACAGTTCTCTGATGAGCACAGGCTTGAGGAACCATTAACGCCTAAAGAACAAGAAATTGTAGTGCCATGAAACCTCAGAAGCTCATTTCCATCAGCTATGCAGCGCGCATGCTTCTTTTGAAGCTTGCTAGCTCTGGCCTTCACTGATTCCCTGTATTTTTCAAAGTTAGCTAGAGTTTTCTGCATGTTATGAACTTTTAATATCTTCTCTATAATTAGGCAACTTCTGTCAGACTGATCTGAAAAGCTTGCTTGGCATATTTTCTCAACAATCTTTTTGGAGGACTCGCCTTCTTCTAGTTCAGTAACTGCAAATATATGAAGAAAAATGAGACTAATAAGCTTTTGAGATAAGTATCTAGGCTACTTGAGGCCAAGGATATATATATATTGGATAGTAAATAAGGATGAATTGTTGATAATTGCAAGTAATTTGATCATTAGTATAAGTGTAAATGATCTGATGAGAGATAATTGTATCAGATTAGGTTCATAATAGTAAAGGCTATATTAAAAAGATCAACCTAATTCAATCAATCAAAAGAAGAAAGAAAACAAGAAAAAGTATCATGTACTTGAAAATGAAGGATGGGTTAAGTTCTTTTCAGTCCCCTCCCTCTATTTTGAAAGGGAAAAATAATCCAACTTTTCATCTCCAATAGAACAAATTTCAAAACAGAAATAAAGTTTCTGTAGGACAGATTACGTACGAGTGAATCCATCAAATATGAACCTTTAAAATCATCACAAGAACAATATTTTGGGTATGGTAAAACAACACTAAGGTTTTTTTTTTTTTTCTTAAAGGACATTGAGAAACTGATGTTAACAAGATGCTTTCTGAATTATGTTTGGGATGACTTTTTTACTGCTTCTTGAAGTAAATTTTTAATACAAAATTAATTTTTTGTATAATAAAACTTATTTAATAAACAGCAGCAAGAAAGCCGTTCCAAACTAAGTGTTTGTTTGGGATGATTTTCTTAATGCTTTTCTTAGTTTGGGATGGTTTTCTTACTGTTTCTTAAAGCAGTTTTTTTTGTTAAAAACTTAAAATTTTTGTACTAGAAAACTTCTTTAAAAAGCAATAAGAAAGCCATCCTAAAGTAAGCCTAAGTCTAATCTATTTCAAAACTCTGAAGCAAATCTGCCAAAATCAATTCAATTTTAGTTTATGGCACTTTGTCATAAGTTTACGCCAATGAAACGCATGTAAAGAGCTGAATCACATCTGTGCTAAATCAATGCAAAACCTGAACTCAGATATATAATTTTAAAGTTTAATCAATCAAAAACTTTTAAGAACACTATCTTTGTGGAGAATAATTTGCAGTTTTATGTACCCAGCAACAGTTTAATATTTTTAGTTTAATAGCTTTGGCTAACAGAGAAGCTATACCAAAAAAAAAATAAAAAATATCAGAGCTCAAAAGAAGAATCTAACCTGCATGATTGCAGACATGGTGATCTTCCAGAGCCTGCCATTTCTTAAACTCCTCTCCACAATAATAACAAGCCAATGCACCATAACTCCCATTAGCCTCAATCTCCTGACCTTCGTTTATCTCAATCCCTCCAGAAAAGGAATAAGAAACCTTATCCTTCTTCCTCCTAGAACAGGCAGCCATCCCCTCTTCTCCCAAAGCAGAACAATTTTGAATGCCAGCTCTCCCACGACCCATCAATCCGTGATCAACCAAAGGCCCGCCCCCACAACTATAAGACCCAAATCCGCCGCCGCCATGACAGGCAGCGATTTTCACCTCGTTGCCGGAGACGGAAGCGAGGACCTCGTGGGTCAGCGGGTGGACTAAATCGCTACTCCCAACGGACCTCGGGCTGCAGCTAGATGTCATCGGCGGATCGGGAGGGACATGGCTTCCATGGATGACGTCTTTGAGAATCGTGACGGACGGCGAGCAACTAGAACACCAAGGGGAGGTCTTCTTCTTAGTGGTGTAATTAAGATGGATTCCTTTGCCTTTCCTCTCCGGCTCGTGAACCTGGCCAGCTTCCGACTTGCATTGCAGAGATTTCTTTATAGCAAACCAAATCCCCGTCATCTTCTTTTTTCTCTCCCAATGAGGTCAAAAAGGGTTGGTGTTGGATTGAAATCCTTTCAGCGGCTTCTAGATGGTAGCAAGATTGCTTCTTTCGATGCTGACCCAAAAATATGATCTTTTTGCCTTGGAAGAACTTCTGATGGACAGAGAGCGAGAGAGGATTTGAAGTTACTTGGGGAGATGAAGTGTTGAATGGTTTATGAGGATTTTTGTTTGTTGAATGGAAATGGGGTTGAAATTAGCCGTTGGAAGGAGGAACCAGTGAACAAGAATCACAGAAAAGCCACTATGATTTAGAGTAACTTATTTCTTATTCCGTTTGTATCCTCTGTATCTTTAATTAAGGTGTAAATTCGTGGCGTACATCGAGGAATTTTAAATCTTCGGTGACGATTCCATTGAATTTCTTGAAGTCATTAAAGAAGGCCAATCGTGGATTGCTTTTGAATATATGTAGATTAAAATAAAAATTATATCTGGACATTTGATAAATTTAAAAATTATAAATTTTAATTTGAGATTAATATAATATAAAATTTTCAAATATAATATTAATATAAGAATAAATTAAATAAATTTTATGTCCATTATTACAATATTTACTAATTTATATTAAAATATCATAATATAAAATTTTTAATGATAGATATTTTGATACAAATTATATCTTGATGGATTTAAAAATTATTAGATTTATTTTACAATTAATATTGCATATCAATAAAGATAATACTTTAGACTAATTTTAAAATAAATTCAATGGTTTAATTTTAGGTTAATATAATTTATATTAGATTATTCCAAAACTACTTTTATTAAAAAAAATGAAGCCCTTTTCAATTAAATTTTTATTTATAGAATATTTATCATAAATTTAAAGTCATCCTAAAATGATTTTATGTATGATAATAAATTTGATTATTTGAAAATCATTTTTTTTTACACAAAGATTGAAACTCAAGACCTCTTAATTGGAAGTCTAAGCTCCCAATCAACAAGCCAAGGTGAGCTATGTATTTTAAAATCATCATAAACAATTTTTAATTTTTTTTTTTTTTTTGCATATTCTCTTTGCTAACTTATTTAGGCTTTGTTTATTATTGATTTTATCTTTTTTTTATTTTTATTTAGTATTTTATTATTTTTTACTATTTTGATAAATAATAAATATATTTCAACTTATAGACGCTTTATTGAAAAAAAAAATAGTACCACTATATGAAGAAATATTCTCGATGCTGCTCAGAGACTATGAGGGGTTGAAAAAAATGGGTTGAGGTCGGATCCAATTTAGTCAATTTAAATATGACTCATTTACTAAATGTGTCATAAAAGTGGATCAAAACCTGATCTGGTAAAACCCAAACATAACCTAATAAACCGTTTTAAGGAAAAAAATATTTTTATTAACTTGTTAATCATAAAATTTTAATTAATTTATGCAGATTAAAAATATTATATCAACAAATAAAAAATTAAAAGAAAAAACATTAAATGAGTCATTTTCAAATCAAAATTGGATTGTTAGGACAACTCAAATAGGATGAATTTGATAAATGGGTTGAAATGCATAACCCAACTTCAACCCATTTATTAAACAGTTCAACACGAATAAAAATTTTTTCAAGACAGATTCAAATCAATTTGGCAAGTGGGGTCATTTAGGGATAAATAAAATTCAGCTGCTTATAAAACATATTATTTTCAAGAAAAAAAAATCTTTAAAATATTCTTAAATTATTTTGTTGCATATTTTTCTCTCTCCTCTCTTTTATAATATCTCTGCGTAGCAATTTTTAAGCACTCTCTCTTCGTTCTTGTAAACATTCTTCTAACGACTGTCATATTCTGCTAATTTTTTATTTAATTTTGTTTCTGTAACTGTCCATCCTCCATCAATTGTTTCAAGCCCGCATGTGTTTCAATATATTATTAAATAATTAAAAAGATTCAATAAAAAAATTATTATCAAGATTTTAAAATTACGAGACTGATAAAATGTAAGAAATAAGAAAAGCGTTTAAGACCATCTCCACCGGAAAATCGCATTTTTCATTTCAAAATGTCAAGATTCATCTCCAATCGAACTCCATTTTGCGAAGATAACGATCTTTCTCTTTTTTCGCGTGTTTCTTGGATAGAAACAGAAAAATAGCAATGATGAACATTGCAACGTCAACCTGCAAGAAAATAGCGGAAGTTTTACAGTTCAATCTGAGCTTCGAAGTGACGGCATTCAAGCGTTTGGAGTTCAAGGGAGATAGCTCTAAGTCCTATAAAATTTTGAAATTGCAAGAATCCCTATATCACTTCAGTTTCACGATTCGAAATTCAAGAACGCATAAAAATGACACGAAGGCTCCAAAGAAAAATTTATTAAGATCCATATTCACAAACTAAGAGTCTAAAAGATCGAGAAATCAGTGAAATGGAGACCACATTCGCGTTGAAAGAATAATGCTTATTTCCGCCGGCGAGCTCACTTCTTGTCTTCCTTCTTCGGACGTGAAGACGCCGGCTTCTTCGCACCCCAAGACGCCACCTTCGTAGTACCCGAAGACGCCGCCTTCGGAGTACCTGGCGAAGACGCCTTCATCTTGCCCGAAGACGCCGCCTTCGGAGTACCTGGCGAAGAAGCCTTCATCTTGCCCGAAGACGCCGTCTTCGGAGTACCTGGCGGCGACGTCTCCTTCGTACCCGAGGACGCCGCCTCCTTCGCACCCGAGGACGCAGCCTCCTTCGTACCCGAGGACCCCGCCTCCTTCGTACCCGAGGATGCCGCCTCCTTCATACCGGAGGACGCCGCCTTCTTCCGAAGGGGCTTGAGTTGGGCACTGGACGTGCCGCCGCCGCTGCTGCTAAAAATAACGTGCCCCAAAAGCTTCGATAATTCCGTGTCACTCCGAACGGAGAGCTCGATGTGGCGCGGCGAGATTCGGCGCCGGTGGTTGTCAATCGCTGCATTTCCAGCCAGCTCAAGAACCTATAAGGACGACGACAAAGAAATATGAAAAGAGAATTTCGGATTGGATTGGAAGAAAGTGAAGATAATTTGAGGGATACCTCACGGGTGAGGTATTCAAGGATGGCGGCGATGTAAACTGGGGCGCCATATCCGACACGGTCGGTGTACTTTCCGTCCTTGAGTTTTTTGGCGATCCGATCGACGGAGAAAGTGAGGCCGGCCCGGGCGCTCCTCGACTTCTCATACTTTATGGGAGACATTTCGCAGATTCTCGAGGCGAGAGAGAGCGATTGCGGGAGGTCCAGAGAAGGAGAAGCACGGATGCGAGAACAGAGAGTTGTAATATTGCGCCAAAGAACTCATATGGGCGCTCAAGTAGGATTCTAAATCCGGATTTTAAGGATTTCTCTGATTAAAATATATTATTATATTTATTTATATTGTAATTGAATGTAATATATTCTATTTAACCCAATTAAATAAATAATAATAATTTATTAAAAATGATATTGCTAAGAATTATTAAAAAAAATATTAATATATATTATTATTACATCCTATCATATGGTAATAGGGGTGTCAATTCGGGTCGACGGGTCGGGTTCGAGTTGAACCCGAGTTGACCCGGATTTAAACGGGTCAACCTGAACCCAACTCGTTTTTGCAAACGAGTCGGACTTTTCAACCCGAACCTGACCCGGCCGGGGTTGACACGACCGACCCGCGCGGCAGAGAACGGAGCTCGCGACAGTGGAGTGTGGATGAAGTCCGCTGGACCACGCGTGCGGAAGGAGTCCGTTGGACCACGCGTGCGGAAGGAGTCCGCTGGACCAAGCGACCGCACGAGTTCGGACTTCGAATGGAGTCCGGGTTCGGCATTCCGCGGGACCGCATCGCGCGTCCGAGACTGAGTCCGCGGGATCGAATGCACGGCAGCGCAGCAGCGGGCGACGGCGTGAGCGCGTGACCGTGCGAGCGCGGCAACGGCGAACCCGAATTTTTCGTGTCAGTATCGGGTTGATTTCGGGTTTTCGGGTCAACCCGAACCCGACCCGTATTTGAAACGGGTCAAAAATCTGAACACGAACCCAACCCGTTTGCTAAACGGGTCAACCCGAACCCGAATTTTTCCAAATCAGGTTTCGGGTCGGGTCAAAAATTGACACCCCTATATGGTAACTGAAAAAATGCTCCTCTTCTTTAACAATATCAAACATCATATTAAAAATAGCAATATGCTTTTCATTGTTGAGGAATACATAATCCACAAAGAAACACAATCCATATTTGTATATCATCTACCAAAATACAATCCCTAAAACTTTTATCAATGCCTATAATTTTAAAGTTTTATCCTCGTCAAAATAGTTCTCGAGCAAAAGATTCTCCTGATGTTATTTAGCTCGTCCTAAGATGAGAATTCTCAAATTTGGAACCCAATTATGTAGGCTAATTCAAAAATGTCAAATGTGACGCTCTTCCCTTCACTGTTTAACATAATAGAATATCCCTCATTTCCATAGTAATCAATAATCTTCGATAACAATTGATAAATCAAAGCACAAAATAAATGTATTTCAAGAGTTATGAATAGCTAAGCAAAAGCAAATTTTTAGCTTTCATCGAGAGTCTAAAATTGTTTAACCAACTTATTCATCATACCTCTAGCTCTATATATACATAGCAAGAGCATCCTAATGCTTCTCATCTGACATTATTAGACCAAGTATTTATACACAATAAAAACAAAACTAAAATAAGCAAAATACAGCATTGTTCAGCTCAAAGATTCGTTTATTGTGATTTAATCATAATTGAAGTTATTTCAAGGGTAGATTATTATAAGGTCATCCTTCAAGAACTCATCTAATAAGATTTGATGCATGTTCTATCACAATTCAAAGATTCGTTTATTGTGATTTAATCATTGTTCATCCTTTAAAGGTCGAATCCCATCAAGAGGCGATACTCCCTTGAAGTCCCGACATATCTGCAAAGTGTGTGAAAGTCAAGAACATGAACAAACAAAGGTCGAGCGAAATCCGAGGCAACTCTAACACATCCGAACATATTTTTCAAGAAAATAATCAACATATTTATTTTTCCAATTTTGTGGATCATAAGCATATAGAGCTTTTTTTGTTTCAAACGCTTACTCTCTCTTGTCTACTCATAAACATCCTTCTAACTAATGACATATTCTCTTCATTCTTTTAGTTTTTATTTTTGTTTCTACAATTTCTATACTCTGTCACGTTCATCTGCATTTCAAAATATTATTTGTTATTTAAGAAGCTTTAAAAAAGTATAGTTTCCTCGCGGCTAATTTAAAAACAGAGAAATTAAGCAACAAGTACTTAGAGATTAGAGATTGTGATACTTACCAGTAACTTTGATAATTTTTTTTTAATTATCATCAAGAATTTTAAAATTAAATTCCACTAATATCAAATTTACGGCGCAGGATGAGATTGGATTAAATGAATGAAATGAAAAAATAGACTGATTACGTAAAAATTTCAATTTACAAGAATTTCTGCATCACTTCTATGACACAATTGAAAATTTCGCAACATATAAACCTAACAGAAAGTGTCAAATTCTACGCTTAATTTTCAAATATAGTATTCAGTATTCACATCAATCTGCCATCGACATTCTCCAAACAAAATTTTATTAACCCTAACAGCCCAAAGAATTGATCAATATTCACAAACACAAAAAACGATCAGTCAGTAAAACAGAGACGACGTACGCGTTGAATGAACCCGGCCATGGCCGCCATTTTGATGACCATTTTGATGACAAATAGAATTTGATTCAAAAAGAAAAGCAGTAAAATACCAATAAGCAAATCTTACCAGTAAGCAAATCTTAATTTCAGCCAATCAAATTCTATTTGTCATCAAAATGGTCATAAAAGTGAATTGTATTGACTTGCGAGTAAACAGTGGGAAAAACCTTAATTTCAGCCAATCCACATTTTGATAACAAATAGAATTTGATTCAAAAAGAAAAGCAGTAAAATACCAATACAGAGAGAAAGATACAATAATAATCATATTTAAATTGTAAACGCATGAAATTTAAGAAAAAAGATTCAACGCCAAGCTCAGCTTGGAATATATTCACATCAAACAGATTTTCAATTAGCAAACAAGGAAACCCTAATTCAAACACTAATCATAACCACAAATCTACTATTCCACGAGAACACAACGCGACACCAAATCAGAGAGAGCACGTCAAAAGAATTATGGTAATTTCCGCCGGCGAGCTCAGCTATCGTCGGCGTTCTTGGAACTCATGAAAGACGTCCTTTTGGGAAGAAGCATACTGTGAATATTGGGCATGACTCCACTATTGGCAATGGTGGCGCGTCCAAGAAGCCTCGTGAGCTCCTCGTCATTCCTAACGGCGAGCTGGATGTGGCGTGGCACGATCCGGCTCTTCTTGTTGTCTCTGGCTGCATTTCCGGCCAGCTCAAGAATCTGCAAGGAATTGAAGGGAGAGAGGAAAAAACCAAATCATAAAAGAGAATCTGCACTGGATGCTAATATCAGGGAGTTCGTTAGCAAACTCTAAATTACCTCTGCAGAGAGGTACTCGAGAACTGCGGCGAGGTAAACCGGAGCGCCACCTCCGACGCGCTCTGCGTAACGACCGGTCTTAAGGAAACGAGAGATACGACCGACGGGGAATTGAAGGCCGGCCTTGCTGCTCCTCGAAGATGACTTCTTGGATTGTGACAAGCCGATAGATTTCCCCCTTCCAGCCATTGCTAGAGAATCTCGAGTCGCGATTAAGTGAGAAGAATGAGCGAACAGAGAGAGGAAGAGATTGAGCGTGGGGGGAAGCACGGTTGGGCAGGCTTTTATACTTTTGGCGATTCAAATAGAACCTAGACCAATGAATGGAAAGCACGCGGATTCTTGTTTGTACCGTTCGATTTTGTTGAATTGGACGGTTTGATTGCAGTCACTTCACGTAATTCTGCCTGCTGCTTTAAGGTGCCCGGTCTCAGTATTCAGGGTAGTTGGAATTTATATTTAGTCGCTGAGGGCATCTCCAAACGAGCGTATGCCGTCCGTCCGTCGTTCCAACCGAACGTAAAAATTTTCGTCATTTACTTGCAGGTGAACAGTGTGACGCCAATATTGGCGTCGCACTGTTCACCCACGCCATTTTACTCTCTCAACCGGTAAAACACGCGAAAGGGAGAAGATCGTTAACTTCCGAAAAACATCTAAAATGGTGTTCGATTGGAGCAGCACCACACCATTTTGGAGTTCTACATTATTTTGCCGTAAATTTTGGAGTTCTATTGAAAATATAAATATATAATTAAAATTCAGAAGAAAACAAATCATAAAACCATTGTGAAGAATGGTGAAAGCATTCCAGTGTAGTAATTGAAGGATTTTTTTTTTTTTTTAATATTATGAGTTAAGTCATATAATTTAAATTTTATTTTTCATCATTTCAAAATTAATATTAGGGTTATTTGGGTTTTATTGGATCCATATAAATATTCAATAATGTCTAGCTCGATCAAAAATACTTTTATTAAGACGAAGATAATGAAATTAGAAGCAGATGTTGATGCGGGTAATAAAGATGATGATTTATGCACCAATATTCTACAATCCATGGAAAATTTAAATATTTCTATGGATCCTATAGAATTGGATGATTTCTGTTAAACACAACAGCTAAAGTGTTTATTTATATTTTCTATTTCTCTTTTTACATGTGTAATAGGTTTATTGGGCTGCTGGCTCTAGCTATGTTCTGAGCCTATATAATAGGATATGTACTGATGTAATTCATTCAGATAATATAATTTTCTTTCCTCTTCTTTCTGTCTCTGTTTCCTCTGTCTTCTGCTTGTTCTATCCAGCGCTTTACAGAGACTTTCATGGTATCAGAGCGGGACATCGATTGATCCCTTCTTCCTCAAATCTCTTTTTCGGTTGCTATGGCAACCTCCTCTACTTCCGCCGCGTCCGAAACTCGTCACGGCTCCGACACTCATTCAGAAACTCATACTCATCACCAACTCAAGTTCTTGATGAATCACATCAAAGGTATCTCCCTTACCCTCAATGCCGAAAACTTTCTCATATGGAGATCTCAAATCTTCAAGCTCTTTAAAGCAAATGGCTTTGAAGGCTTTCTTGATGGAAGTTGTCCCTGTCTCGACTCGTCGACTTCCACTTCCGACACCGAAATGTCATTCCAATCTTGGAATCACATTGATCAAAATTTGGCTGCTGCGCTTTACTCGGTTATCTCACCTAGCATTCTCCCTTACGTTCTCTCGCTCGATCACTGTACGGAGATCTGGGACACCATCGCTCGTCGCCTTCAATCTAACACCCGGTCCCGCACTATTCAGTTGCGTAACGAACTCCACCACCTCTCCATGAAAAATCAAACCATGCCCCAATATCTTCTTGTGGTCAAATCTATTGTAGATGCCATCGCCGCTACTGGGTCTCCTTTAGACCCCGAGGAAATTATCTTCTACACTCTCAATGGCCTTCCGATTCAATACCAATCTTTCAAAACGGCCATTCATACCAACCTCCAGCCTCTTAGTCTAGACGACCTGTATACCCTTCTTTGCAGCGAAGAACTTAACCTGGCTCAAGAAACCACCACTGCACTCCAAAATCTCCACCTTAATGATCCTACAACAGCTCTGGCGGCTTACCGTGGACGAGGTCGTGCAAGAACCCAATCAGGCCGAGAAATAACCTCAAATCGAGGTCGCACTCGCTCGGACAAACCTTCTTCCAGCAGCATTACTTGCCAGATTTGTGCCAAACCTGAGCACTCCGCAATCAAGTGCTGGTATCGTAATGACCCATCGTACACAGAAGAAACGACCAAAACTGCTCTATTTACACCTTCCGATTCCAATGGCAACGCAGCGGATTGGTTTCTTGATAGTGGGGCTTCTACCCATTTGACGTCCGACCAGTCCAACCTTCAAACCGGACGTCCCTATAACAGCAACCAACAAATCACGATTGGAAATGGATATCAACTTCCGATACAGCACATTGGTAAAGGTATTCTTCCCACTCCACAAGGTAATCTACATCTACATCATTTGCTTTACGTACCCAATCTCTCGTTTAATCTTATTTCGATTTACCGCTTAACGAAAGATAACAATTGCTCTGTCAAGTTCTCTGCTCATGATTTTCAAATCCAGGACTCGAAGACGGATCACACTCTACTCAAGGGTCCTTGCCTTAACGGGCTTTATCCCATCCGCTCCCCGTCTTCTCTACCTAATCTCGCGTTATTCTCCGCTCAACAAATACCTGGCCTGTGGCATAAACGTCTCGGACACCCGGCTTCACAAACGCTTACTGCTGTTCGGAAATTCATTCCGTCTCTGTGTAACAATTCGAACAATAATCACTTTTGTAATGCCTGTAATTTGGCCAAAAGCCACCGCTTAGTGTTTTCCCCTTCTACTTCTTTTAGTACGCAATGTTTTGATTTGCTTCATTCCGATGTCTGGGGGCCGTCTCCCACGACCTCCTCTCATGGATATAAGTACTACGTTTCGTTTATTGACGATTACTCTAGATACTGTTGGACTTTTCCGTTATTTCACAAATATGAGGCGTTTGATAAGTTCCTTGAACTTCATAATTTGATTAAAAAATCAATTTAATAAAACCATTAAAATTTTTCGTTCTAACGGTGGAGGCGAGTTCATCAACCACAAGTTTTGCAGCCTCTTCAAAAATCTGGGTATTATACATCAATTTACCTGCCCCTATACGCCGGCTCAAAACAGTGTCGCCGAACGTAAACATCGGCATATATTAGAGACTATGAGAAGTCTTCTCATCGACGCAAACCTTCCCAACACGCTCTGGGTTGAAGCATTAAACACAGCAGTATATTTGATCAATAGACTTCCTTCTCGCTCACTACAGGGAAAGACTCCGTTCCAACTTATGTATCATAAAATACCCGCCTACAATCACCTAAAAATATTTGGGTGTCTCTGCTACCCGTGGACTAAGCCATACAACACAAACAAATTGTCCCCTTTATCCACGGCTTGTGTTTTTATTGGATACGCTTCATCACAGAAAGGGTACCGGTGTCTTGATCCAAAAATTGGATTCGTCTACATATCAAGGCACGTCGTCTTCAACGAAGGTATATTTCCTTTTACTTCATCCTCTCGAACTGCCTGCACGACTAAATCTGCAGACTTCATCCCTTCGTTATTATTGGTTCCTACCGGATCACACCACAACATATCTCGTTTACCACCAGTCATCCAACAAAAGGTTACCAATTGTCCTGTTATGACTAATCTCGCTCCAAACTGTTCCGCCAATACCTCTCCTCATCCAGAATCGGTCTCAATTATTCCAATCCAACAACTCAGCAACCAGACAGGTCACACAATGCTGACAAGATCTAAATCCGGTCATTCTAAACCAAAGCAGATATTCAGTCTCCTCCATGCTGAATCCGATCCAACATGTTACAAAGAAGCGGTAAGGCTTAAGCATTGGCAGCAGGCAATGCAAGAAGAATTCGATGCTCTCCAACTTCAGAATACGTGGGAGCTAGTCCCTCCCTATCCATCCCAAAACATTCTTGGATGTCGTTGGACATACCGCACCAAATACTTAGCTTATGGATATGTAGCACGATACAAGGCTAGACTAGTGGCTCAAGGCTTCAATCAAGAACAAGGAATTGACTATGATGAAACTTTTAGTCCTGTAGCCAAGATGCCAACAGTCCGATTCCTTATAACCGTTGCTCTTCATCACCATTGGCCTCTACACCAGTTAGATGTCTCCAACGCGTTTCTTTACGGGACTCTTACTCACACCGTTTATATGAAACAACCCGTCGGATTCATTGATCAAACTCATCCAAACTATGTTTGTCGTCTTAAGAAGGATCTTTACGGACTCAAACAGTCCCCACGAGAATGGTTCGCCACTTTATCCGGTCACCTTCAATCTCTCGGTTTCAAACTCAGTTCTTCGGACCCGTCCCTCCTCATCTACAATAACAACGGAGTTCACATGTTCTTCCTAGTCTACGTTGACGACATTCTTCTCACCGGATCCTGTCCTACTACAATCAAGAAGCTCCTTGACAATTTAAAGGCTATGTTCACAATGCGGGATCTCGGTTCCTTATCCCAATTTCTGGGTATTCAAGCCACCGCCACGTCATATGGTCTTCATCTCTCTCAAAGTCAATTCGCACAAAGCATTCTCACACGCGCAGGTATGAGCAATTGCAAACCCATATCTACTCCATCCACTTTAAAAGGTTGCAGTTCTACTGATCTAACCGCTGCTTATTCTAATCATACGTTCTATCGACAACTCGCCGGAAGTCTTCAATATCTTACTCTCACCCGACCGGACATTGCCTTCCCCATCAACAAGATATGCCAACATATGCAAAATCCAACAATTTTGCATTTCGGAGCTCTCAAAAGACTTATGCGGTACATACAAGGCACTCTACATTTCGGCATTCCTCTCTTCCGGGATAAACCCATTCTGCATTCTTACGCCGACTCCGACTGGGCAGGCGATACAAAAGATAGAAAATCTATCTCCGGCTATTGTAATTTCCTCGGTTCATCACTTATTTCATGGAGCGTAAAGAAGCAAAATGCCGTCGCTCAGTCCTCCACGGAAGCCGAATATCGCTCCATTGCATCGCGGCAACAGAGATAACTTGGATTCGCCGGCTACTCCAAGAACTGAACTGCACTCAAAATTCAGCCACCACCCTATTCTGTGACAATACCTTAGCCATAGCGTT